GGCAAAGCATGTTTTCTGTTGATATAAAGGATATCAAATTGGTTCACTTGGACCTCCCCTCTCACCCATCTCATAACGCGAAGCATTGGCCTTTCGAACCGGATCACGAACAGTCCCGATCACCGACTTGCATCTCGAAAATTCTTGTCCTTTTGACCCGGATCACGAACATTCCCGATCACCGACTGTCATCTCGACCATTGTACGGAAAGGTGAAACGAACGCATTGGGATGAGGAAGCGATTAGTCTCATATCAGCCACCTCTTGAAAAAGCTTTGATTCTATTGAGAGGAAATTGCTTTAAGTGTGGTGCTTTGTTAGTCCACGGTGTTCTGAGTGTTTGCTGAAGAAGCTGCAGAGGATGTTTTAGTTGAACGATTCTTGTTTCTTTTGCTTGTCTGTGTTATACCACAGGGCACTTTGTTCGGCTCGTCAGAGAGAACCGCTTTTAGCTCTTCATGAGGCAATCGACATGGACCAGTTGCATATTTTTCTCGAAGTTCTTTGAGTTCGTCAGATATGACCCACTCAGGCAGAGTGTGTATGGCTGCCATGGCAAAGTATTCACCTTCTTCTTTAGTTGCATCGGCAGGTGTGCCTAGTTTTGATGTGTGGTCTGCAGAGTTCAGCGAAGCGAAAGCAGGAACTTCTCCAGTGAGCTTGAGCGAGGCGATGTGCATGTGATTCCAAAGAACAATTAAGGGCGTTTTACATTGCCATAATCGCTCATTGGGAACGCCTGCACTGATGGCTAAGTGGCCCGGTCGCAGCCGGTCGTTTCCAACCAATTCAGCGGCAAACAGGAGCAGGTCACCGACAGTTTCTGTAATGGTAGCATCCAGGATCGGCAAATCTACGAAAAACCAATCTTGTGTGCAATCCACTGCGGCTCGCGACAAAGCATCACTGAGACGCACCAAAAAACGGAGCCTATGACACTTGCATGGGTGTTGGGAGGAACTCTTGAAGTCACTACCTGGTCTACGTTTGTACCATTGCTCGGTTCAGGATATCGTGGTTTGAAGCCTGCAGGAGAGTAGTAACCGTCACTTCTCTCTTGAGCATGTTTTTCCCACGGTACTGTTCGTGCTGGTCTCAGTGCAGCCCAGGCATATTCTGGATAGTCAGGCACGATTGGAATTTCTACAAGCAACCAAGACTGTTCTTTTCTGGTCAGCTGTATCTGGTCTTCTTTCTTTGGGACCAAACCTTCAATTGTATAATGTTGGTTGTCGTGCTGAAAGAGTGGTGTCCCAACATCAACTTTGGCAAGTTTGCTTGCATCTCTCAATGTAAAGGAAGTAGGATGACAGTTCTCTTCGTTCTCATTGACGATTCTGTAATGAACTTCCCTCAGAATGCAACGGTAATCCATGGCATGAGCACGTCTGGCACGAATTGTGTGATGTTGTTTCTTTAGGGTGAGCTGAATGGCATCCTATGAATTGCTGTATTTATGTATGTGTCGCTCGTACAATCGATTCAGCATCTTCTTGGTAAACCTGTCTATTTTAAATGACAAATACCATGAAAATAATAGCAAGCTGCACCTGTAGAATAGCATTATTTCAACTTCAGCTCTTCGAGCCATCATTTGAGACTTCAGTATCTTCTGGGAATGCACTCTTTGCTTTAAAGCTAATATACCTATACTTGCTTCATGCTTGGCTAAGCTGAAGAGTAATGCTTTGATGAAGCCAAAAAACCAGTCTAGGAACGGTGCGGTACGAACTGACCGTAGCAAAACACCGTCGCACCTGTCAGTTGACCACATGTCCGCAACCAGAAACCGTCGCACCTTTCAGTCGCACCACATGACTGTACCAAACACAAGTCGCACCTGTGAGTCGCACCAAATGACCGTAGCAAGACACCGTCGCATCTTTCAGTCGCACCACATGACCGTACCAAAAGACCGTCGCACCTTTCATTCGCACCACATGACGGTACCAAGCAAAGAGTCGCACCCTTGAGTCGCAGCAAATGATCGTAGCAGACGAAGAGTCGCAGCTTGCAGTCGCACCAGATGACCGTAGCAAAAAAACCGTCGCACCTTTCAGTCGCACCACATGACCGTACCAAAAAACCGGCGCACCTTTCAGTCGCACCACATGACCGTACCAAACAAACGTCGCACCTGTGAGACGCACCAAATGACCGTACCAAAGACATGGTGCACCTTCGAGTCGCACCAAATGACCGTACCAAAACACCGTCGCACCTTTCGGTCGCACCAAATGTCCGTAACCAGAAACCGTCGCAACTGCGAGTTGCACCACATGACCGTACCAAACAAGCGTCGCACCTTTCAGTCGCACCACATGACCGTACCAAACACAAGTCGCACCTGTGAGTCGCACCAAATGACCGTACCAAGACACCATCGCAGCTTTCAGTCGCACCAAATGTCTGAAAAATAAAACTCATCGGTGCAACTCTCTATGATGCAAATCCTTGAAAAAAAGGAGGTTAAAGAAATCAATGCTTTACGAACCGGATCACGAACAGTCCCGATCACCGACTTGCATCTGGAACATTCTTTTCTTTCGAACCGGATCACGAACATTCCCTATCACCAACTTTCATCTGGACCATTGTATTGAAACCTTTTTTTTTCCTCCAATTCCGCGACAAAGTTCACCGAACCTTGCATACACAGTTTGAATGCTGATGCACTGTGCGAGCTTTTTCTCTTGGCGTTCAATGTCTCCCTCAACGCCTAAGACTTTGCACAAATTGCACCCAAGAATCGTCTTAGGTTCCTAATTGGGAAATTTCTAAGATCATCCTTCTTCGGAATCTCTCACTGGCTACTGGCTGTGTAAAAAGCCTGCTTGAGGATCGCAAAGTGGTGGAAATCTTTCAAGATCGGTATGGTACCGCACAAGGCTTCCGTGAAAAAAAACCAGATGTCTCCGTTGCTGTTGTTCAATTGCCCGAATCGCTTGTCGTGCTTGCGCCAGAGCCTGTTTGATTGCATGATTGGCTTCTAAGAAATAACCTGGTGTGTCCTCCTGTATCTGAAATAGATCTGATTCCAGATCCTGCAAGCGTGCCAATAGACTGTTGATCTTGAACAATGGATCGATGAGACTATCGAAGGTGGTACCCATCGCATCCCATGCCATTGCCATTTATTTTGGAGGCAATCTTAGTTTAGGTCTTTTCATGTGGTCTCTCTAATCACATGTTTTTTCAATGTAATGAAGCTACGAAATGGGTGTTTGTTTAATGCCCTTCTTGAAATATCTTCGTGGCATGTAATGATCTATTCTGTTTACAAAAAAGGAATGAACAGAATTGAGCCGAAAGCATAAACATGCATTCGTGCCACGTTCACGGTGAGGACAGAAAGTAATGGTCATTTGAAGCCAGCCTCGTTCATGTCATTGATTTAAAATACCATTGCCGGATAACATTGATTTTAAATCCCATCTCAGCATGACTGCCTTTTTTGCGCTGGTCTCCTCTGCTAGGTTGCAACCAAGATGTTTGCCGCACATCGGACAATGCATTCACCAAAATGTCGGGTTAAACGACTGATTTGCAGACATCACCACTGCTCACACGTCCGACATTTGTTGTATGTAGTCCATTTGATTGCAACGCACCCCAACCAGTCGACCACATCCGGTTCCATTTGTTGAGCCAATGCGTGGCCTCTACAAATGTTGAGTAAGGGCCGAAAAACATACCCAAGATATATTCGTAGGAGTTTTTGGATTCTAAGCATCACTGCAGATCACAGTTTCATTGTCGTCGGTAAATGGAGCGATCTATTCGTCTTCTTGATTGTGTCTTCGTGCTTCTTCTCTTTTCCACTCATCATGGAGCGACGATGCAAATTCAGAAGCTTCCAAAGTCAAAAGGCGAAATGCACGCATACTCTGTTCCAAACCTAGAATATTTGGCAAATGAGTGAGCTGAGCGTTGGCCCACATGTATTTGTTGGCAATTTCCTCCCAGTCATTCGGATGTTGCTTTCCGATGCCATGTGTCACATCATTGGTAAGTCGCTGAACTAGCATAGCAATTTTGGAGTCTGTCTCTGCAAAAGTACCTTTCCTTTTGCTTTGCAATGATGTTTCTTTGCTTTTCAATTTGCGAGCATCCACGTTCCCATTCTTGTGCAGCAGAGATTGATAAAAATAAGCTGCATCCGTCCAAGCTAAATCGAAATGATAAAACATGTCCAAATCGTTGTCTGCCAACTTCCTCGTTACATGCCTCCCTTTCTCCAGGAACTGTTTGACATTGATTGTCCGAGTGTTCCACTCATCATTTGCAGTTTCTGTGAAAGCTGAGTGGATGCATACCGTCAAATGACCTGTCAACAAATAAACCAGGCATGCCGTATCTAGTTCCTCGGGTTTTGGCATGTTGCGACCAAGTAACGAAAGTTTTTGAGCTCGAACTGCAAATAGAATCGAGGACAAGATGATGTGTTGTTTGGATCTGATGGAAAAGACCATGAGGACTGTTTGCCTTTCGCCCCTAAGTTTACCGTTTCCGCGTTTGTTTGAAGCCAAAAAAAAGTACAATTCCCTTGCACTTCGAACAGAAATCAACAAGACCTTATGAGAAGATGCAATGAAAGCTAGAAATTCTCTGCAAGAAGCTTATTCTGAGTCAGTAGCCACGATAAAGAAACGAACCATGTTTCAGCAGACACAGCAGAACAACTCTCTGATCGTTTCTTCCGTCTGTGTGCAAACGGAAACATTGTCTAATTAAGCTTCATGTAAATTCTACAATGAAGCACAAATGCTTTTCCCAGCATTCGTTAATTTCTCGTTGAAAACGAGACAAAATGATTGTGCAGGGCAGCTAAGAGGTAACATGATGAAACAAACAGCTTGTACATATTTTTATTTCTAATCGTATAGCAAATATATAATCCTGCCATAGTTCTGTTCATCTGAAGCCCGATCACTCGCTGTTGAAGAGCTATGCTTTGGAGCAAAACCAAATGGACATTGAATTAGATATCTCTCGCATTTCATGATTGCCACGGCCACCATGACTTCTGTGACGTGCCCCATCGTACATCTCTTCTTCGATGTTCATAGTGGTGCCATGGAGGGTTCGGCTTGCTCTTTCTCCTGTATCTGACCAAAGGTCGGAAACTGTTTTCGGCAATGCACTTCACTCGATTGATGTTTTTTTTGGGTTCAGGTCGATCATGTTCATGATTCTCAGTCGAAACCGTGTCTTTTCCAAGGTGAGCGGTCTCATCTTTTCCGGGTCTTTTTGTCTCTTTCTCGATCATCATTTGTGCTTCAAGCTCTTTGTTTGCGGAAGGCGAGGTTTTCCCTGAACTCAGCAAAGGCAATCCTTTTGAGCTGGCAGGAGATTCTCTGCATGCATCTTCCGAAGAAAGATTCATCCACATGGCAGCTTCCTCATCTCCGTCGAACATTTCGTATTCTTGTAACAAAGGTTCATAGTCTTCATCAAATGGGCTGTTGAATGAAGGTTCCTTTGCACTCCTCGATTGTTTTGTTTTGAGTGTTTCCAGATCATCCATTCCCGGAATCTCCGACTCACACTCTACTCCAACTTCTTTTTCTTTGTCGTTTTGAGTCTCGCTTTGGGTTGCAGTAGTCTTTCCATCTGATTCCGTGAACAGTTTCTCGGTCACTGTCACCCAAATCATTCTTCTGTTGATGGCCCTTGAATGATCTTTGTTATCAGTTTCCCTTGGAAAAAAGGTATGCCGTTCATGATTTGTTAGAAATATCCTGACAGTATCAGCAGGAATAAAACCATCCTCATGGCGGCATTTCACGGCTCTTTCCGATTTGACGTCGAGAAACGACTTCACCTCGTCAACTGAGAAGTTCTGCAGTGTGACGTCGTCGAAAAGAATCGACTCTTTTCCTGTGAAAAGCAATGATTTCACAGTATCCAAACTGTCCACAAAAAAGTACTTTCCCATCGAGGCCAATATTGCCTTTGCCATTTCTGTCTTTCCAAGTCCTCCCTCGCCTTGGATGATAAGAGCCATTTCACTTTTGAAGTGTTTCATCCAAACACGAATTTCGTCTGGGATGTTGAAAGCAGATAATGGATATTTGCTGGTAGCTTTGGAGGTGCCTAAAAAGACATCGTCCCGGAATTGGGCCATGTGTGCTTTATTACATTTCTGTATTTGTTTTGCCACAGCCGCCATTCCACCATAGTTCCACAGAGTTGGATTGCCTGCTTCTTTCTCCTTACAAGCCAACACCCAGAACTCTTGTTCGTTTGTGATTTTGTGGTGTAGGACGTAGTCGGAAAATTCGGAGAAATCGAGCACTCTCCTTCTTTTTCTCCATCGGTCCTGATGTGTACCATCGCCATTGTTGCTTTCTTCCTTCCATTGCATCCTGTTTTCTTCCGCTCTTTTTTTCAAGTAGTCCTCTTCGGTGAGCTGCATCTTCTTCAGCATGTCTTCTTTTGTCATTCTTGTCGGCCAGAATAATGGAGTCGGGTCTAAGTGTACGGGTAGCTTCACAGCAGAGTCAGTGAGCACGTACTTTGCCATTTGGAACCAGCCTTTTCGCGGGTACGACATGTGTCCATGTAGCCCGTAGTGTTGAGCGAGTGTGTTGGACACCCCTTTGTGGGCAAAGTTTGCAGACATTTTGAAACAAACGTGGTAGTGCATTTCGTGTGCACTGCCATCCGGCATAAGCTTCTTGTGTGGTTCGTAAACCACTATCATCTGCCTCAATTTGCCCATCAGCTGGCACCTGTTCAAAGCATCCAAAAAGTTTTTTTCAAGCTCCTCTCTGCTGATGTCTCTTGGAATCAGCTCATTTTTCTTCTTTCTTTCTTCATAAGTTTTCAAATACGATCTCGGTGTGGGGAAGGTCCACATCATGATCCACGATCTGTGTTCCGTTTTCAGAGCCTTTTCTTCCTCATTTTCAGAGGAATCGTATTGACAAAGGACATATGAAGAATCATCCTTTTGTTGAGCAGCTTGCTCTTCATTCTGAGTAATCGGAACTGAGGATGTCTGCCGACATGGCTCAGAGGGAGACGAGGACATGAAATCTACGTTCTTTCAATTCAGTAGAATCACTGTTTTTATTATTGTTTTCGATGTATATATATATATATATATCGTATAAATATGTCTCGATGATGCGAATGTGAATGCGATATTCTGTTTGAACTGCCGTGCTGCAAAGACGGATCATAGTTCAGTTCTAAGCTTATGCAAAATGTTTCAAATATGCTGTTTCACTATGCTGCGCGTTATTTTTTCTTGCGCTCACAATGCAGTTTGTGCAAAACAATGCATGGTGATCTTCATTCGATCACAGGACTTGCCTGAATTACTAGACAATGTGCACGCAATCACTCGCTCTTCATTTGTAACATCTTGGAGATTTTCTGGCTGACCATGACTTTGCCTCCATAGTTCCACAAGGCATGGTTACCTGCATCTTTTTCTCTGCCAGCAATTTTCCAAAACTCGTTTTCATTGGTGATGCCATTTTGTTTTGCAATCTCCACGAATTCCGCAAATTTCATCGTCCTTCTTCTCTTCAGCTGTCGCTGCCCCAAGGTTGGTTTTCCTCGTTTCGATGTCCACTGTTTATGCGACATTGCTTGATCCTGCCATTGCTGAAGCACCTGACTCTTGGTCTGCCACATGTGCGGCCAAAATAAAGGGATCTTGTCTTCGGCCACCTCTTTTCGCTTTGTTTTGCAATCCAGAACATACTGTACAAGACTTTGCCAATTTTTCTCAGGATGGCTCATGGAACCTCGGCATCCCCTTTTTTGGGCAAGCAGTGTATTAATGTCGTCACTCGCAAAAGAAGTTTTCGTCTTGAAAATAACACGAAATTGAAATCCGTAATGGTTGAGTAGTGGCTCTTTGACCACAACGAGTTGCTCTAGAATGGAGCCGTGTCCAAGTTCCAACATAGCAGTTCGAAACATTTCACATATGTCGTTCCTCGAGAAATCTTCTGGAACATACTGACACTGATCCTTTCGTTCAGCTGCATTCTGCAAATAGTCTTGTGGCGTTGTGAAGGTCCACATATGACAACATGCACGGTGACGAGAATTAGCAGAAGTCATCCGTGACAAATCACATGCAAAATGAACGTGCTGCCTTCGAGACGAAAAAACGACGGCGGAGAAATGTGTCGGAAATGTTCGTGATAAAGTGAGCGCATGAAGTTGCATGATTCAGGTTTAATTCAAGAACAAATCCACAACAATATATCAACAAAGCGTGACTCAAGGTTTGATGAATAGCAGAACACTAAGAAAGCTAAGAATTTCCAATTACATGCAAGCCAAATATTGGTTATGAACTTCTACTGTCGACGACCTCTTTTTCTTCTACGCCCCAGGTCGAACATACAGAGACAACTACATCTGATGCAGACGTATTGTCTCACCCACATTGACACGAGAAATTGTGTACATAACCCCGTTATTTGAAAAAAGCAAATGTATTATCCAGATGCGCTTGGAATATTCTGGCCTTTTTTTTGGCCAATGCAATTATTCTGTTTGTTTTAATAGTCTCCTGGAGCAACCTTTTTTCTTGTTCTTTTTTTTCAGAAAAAGCTCGATCTTTTTCGTCTTTCAAAAGCTTGCATCTTTCGAACAGTTGCGTTGGACTCCACATCTGATCTCCAATCTTTATTGTCTCTGTTGATTCCTGGGCTGGTATGCTCAGCTTCCTTTTTTGATATTCTTCCATAAAAATTCGAGCACGAGTTTGTGAATCAATGCAACTATTGGGAACAGTTTCAGCAAGTTTGCTTGCTGCTGTACTGGAGAACTTAGCACTGTTCTGACGTTTGTCAATGTCGGCAATGACTGCTTCAATCTGTTTTTCTTCGTCTTCAACAGCTTCTCTTTTCTGTCGCAGTGCCCGCAGCTGCTCCAGGCTCTGTCGTCTAATGTCATCTTGGCTCTGACAAGATTCCAATTTTCTTTTTTCCAGTGCTGAACCATTGTTCAAATTCTCCTTGGTTGATGACATGTTGTCGAGATGTTCCACAATGTCAGTCAGATTCTCAATGTCGAGGTCAATCACCTGCAACAATTCGGTCAACACTGTTGCTAGAGCTTTCCCAACCTGACTGAAGAGTGTGTCATCACAGCGATGTTGCACATTTCTCAAATCTTCTTCTGCGTTCCACTCTGGAGGCAGTACGTTCCCATTGTCGGACAGAAGTTTTTGCCAAATTGTTGTAACCTCCTTCATGGACTTGGATAAAACTGCCAACTGCTGTACATCCTCCAGTGTAAGCTGCTTCTTCAAGAGTTTCACCAAACCAATGAATGATCTGGCAGATTCTGGCGTGCCGCTTGGTAACTTAGATGTCATAAGATGTGGCATGGCGAATAGAGCAATGCTGCGTAATGCCAATAAAAACAGTCTGTTGCTTTCTAGTTCAAATGATAAAGGACGACTTCTTGAGCTGGTTGATAACATAAAAGCGCATAGTTGCATCTTGTGTTAAGTACGCATTTCATGTCCTGAATCAAATAAAAGAAACATTGCACAGAACATCTCCTTGAGCCGTACGAGGAAGAATCAAGAATTGGAGTCACTTTTCTCAATCTGATGAGTAAAACATTGAAATGAATTACAATCCGGTCTTTCTTTTTCTGCCCGAATGCTTAGAAAATACTTCTGAGAAGATGATCATCCCATGATCAAGCCCCCTAACTAATCCTTTTGAAACATTTCAAGCATATGCCGTCTCTTTGTGGTATCCTTCTGTCCTCATCGTTTCTGCTGTGCCATGGCCTCTCTGCGGGCCAAAGCTGCAGCCTTATTAGCTGCTATTCTTGCGTCCGTCTCTCTGCGACATTTTTCAAACAATTCAATTTCTTCAGGTCTGTACCATTTTCCGTTCGTCCACCTTTTCTTTCCTGGAGATACTTCATATCTGGGTTGGACCTTGGCATGATAGTCGTTTTTCGGCTTTTTCATCTCGGGTGTGTCTCCTCGGAATAAATCACCTGGTTTGGGAGCTCCATCCACATAGTGCGAGCTGGAAGATTCTCGACATGTCGCCACAAGTTTGGCTTCATCACGTTCGCATTGTTTTTTGACCTCTCTGATCTCTTGCAGACGCATGATGTGCTGTTGTTTGAGTTTCTCCTGTTCAGCCTTCTCAGCATTTTCTTTCTCCTTCAGCGCCTCTGCTTCCCTAGCTTTTCTCGCTTCCTCCTCTTGGACCCAGTCCAAGAGATCGAAGTCTCTCACATGCTTTGCTGCAACAATGCATTCCAGTGCAGTTTCGATGATCTCCCAATCGCAGGCAGCCAAAGTACCCACTTCGAACACTTCGACAAAGAGGATTGCGAAGGCATTGCCCAAGCTACCAAATTTAGTTTGGTCCACATTCTTGCTCAATGATGCTCGAACTGAATTTCGTGGTTTTGTAGTGGCTCCAGTCTCTCTGGTGATCTCATTGGAGATGTTTTTCATTAACTTCACCAGTTCTTCCACGTCACCCAGTGATAATTGCAGCTCCAAGTTTTTGATTAGAGAGACCAAGCAACCGGCATCTGCTGGACTCATGTTTGTAGGTTCTACAAGCTCCAAGTTCTTGTTTTCAACGTCTTTCTACGAAGAAATGCATATTTTGCAAATATTATTGTTTGCTGCATGTCTGTTTGTTTTTTTGAAACAAAAAAGTGTGTTATGTCTCTTGTCTGCAACCAAATCACGGACGAACCGCTCTTCGACTCTGCAGGCAAGAGAAATATGTTCCTACGAAACAATTCTATAATTCTAGAACGAGTGAATAATCGAAAACAAATAATGGAAAAGAGGATATTAAGCATAATCATTCAAATTTCAGGACCTGAAGCCAAAAGACACGTCGTACACGAGATAGCATATTTTTTCACAACCATTCAAATGTTACGAGATTAATGACACGGAGTGCAACGCTCAAGCTTTTTTTGCTATTCATGCAAGCGACGACTCAGTTCTGGTTTTGAAAAGCAAGAGAAAACATTTCTCTTCTCTGCGGACAAATCACGAACAATCCTCGATCATCGATTCTGCTGACAAGAGAAGTGCATCAATCGTCCATTGGGAGTTGATGTGAGAAGACTTAAAGAGGTAACGCAAGACAAAGCTGACTACTCTTTGATAGCTGACTGGAGATTCTTTGATTGCCAGCACTCACTCATTCGATTGAGCACCGTCACTGGTTCTGTTCACATGTTCCTCACTATTCACTGTCTCATTGGGCTCGACATTCTCAGCCGATAAATCTTCAGCTGCATCTCCATTTTGATCCTGAGCAGAATTAGGGTCTTCACTTCGTTGGGTTTGACGTTCACGTAGAAGCCATAAAAGGTCCTCATCGTGCAAATTGTGAGCAGCTTTCATGAGACGTCTTTTCTTCTGCTGTTGCACCTTCACCGTTTTATTCATCTCTTTGAGATCTTGTTTTAGCTGTTGCTTTTTGGCTTTTAGTGCATCAAGGTCTTGGATTGCAATGACTTTGCGAGGACGGGCTCGTGGCTTCGCCGCTGCCGAACTAGCCATACAGAATCAGTCGAGAGATGCCTGCGAGGTCCAAAAGCAGCTATCAACTGTAAGCCAAATTTCTGTCATTTGATTTTGTTCCCCCGATTGTGTGGCGAATTGTAACCATGCCATGTTGCAATGCAAACACAAGGCAAGTATATGAACAGATTCATCACATGTCCGACAACATTCTCGCAACTTTTTGGTTACAAATTAAAAGCATTAGATCGCGTTCAGCTTTGCTGAATACTCTGTTGCAGAATCGAAGCATTTCCGTACATATTCAAAATCTTCGTTAATTCGTAAAGTCGTTAAGTCGTTAAGTTTTGTTTTTTAATAGATGTATTCTATTTAGAAAAAAAAGACTTTATGCTTTATGAATTAATTAATGATATTAGGTAAAATATACCATTTTGAAACCTCGATTCAATCGATTTCAACTGGTTTCAGCTTGGCTGGTAACCAGAATAATGACTTAAATGGAATCGCCTTTCGACGAGGCCAGATTTCTTGCAATTGGGTTTCGGAAGGCAAAGCTGTAGGACTGTCTGTTAGACGAGTAACTCCAAGCTGTCGTAATTCATCACTTATGGATTTGGCTTGGCCTAACAGTCCCACGTTGTGAAACGCTGTTTTCCAATTCCTTCCTCGCCAAAACAACTTGTTTAGGCTGCTCAATACATTAAACCACTCTTTGGTTTGCAAGGTGCCATCGTTGTCTTGCCTCTCCATAAAGAGTTGATGTAAAACTGATTTGTACGCTTGTAAACAAGAAACATCCAATGGTTGTAACATGAAGGTTAACCTTGCAGGAACATATATCAGCCACAAATTCAGTCTGTTTGCAGCTGAAATCACCGATGCATCAATGTGACATGGAGCTACATCTAGCAAAATAATGATTTGATGATCTTTTGTACACGAAATGAGTGATTTTGCTATGTTCTCCAATATCACAACCATTTTCTGAGCCGTGTTCCATCCTGATATGTCACGAATAAATCTCAGTCCCGGTGGGACATTATCTGGTATATCTTTCTCTCTAAAGGTTCGTTTGTTTAACAATACGAACTGTGGCAGTAAAGCCTGAATTTGTGGCAGGTGACTGATTGCAGCCACATGTGTTGCAGTGCCACGTTTCAAACTGCGATTGATAAAGCGAGCTGGAGGTCGACCCATATTTGTTTTTTTTTGGTCACGTAGCCCTTCGATCGTAGTGCACATCGATGAATGGATGTCTCATCGATGTTGATGAGACAAATTTCTTTGCCATCATGACGTGCTTGCTCGCACAAATAATCGAACCATTGCCAGAAGGTTTGAACCTGAATGATGATTCAAAAACATGTTTGCTGCCAAATTGCATTCAGTTTTTTGAGGCTCGAATTTGGCTTCAAAATATTACTATTTTTATGCTTCAAAGGTTTCAATGTAATGATTCTATTTATTTGAGCTAAAAAAAAATAAAAGAGGAACCTAAAAATGTACTATTTGTTCGGGCCTTTTCTTTGAGTTCTGATGGAGGCATGAATTCGCGTTCCATCATTTGACCGTGTCTGACTTGCCATCTCTTCTTAAATCTGCAGCACCACTTCCTCATCGTATTCACGACCCTGATGCCTCTTCCTCCAGACTTGTTTTCAAGTGGATAATCAACTACTACCGGATGACATTGGTCGTCACAACTCTCATGTTCATTTCTCTTCAGTTGGTCAAAGTAATATTGCACCAGCTGCAGAGACGATACAGTTCGTCCCTTCTCCATGTTCTCTTTCTCCAGCCACAGACAAGTTTGCATCTCTGTGATGAAGCGCCTGGCTTCTTGAAATATGCAAATATTTTGTTTGGAGAGTGGATGCAAGGCAATCTCTTCAAGAACGTTGAACGGAACATTCAAAAACCAGTCACGAATAGGAGAAAAACGACAATCGTCCTCAGCTTTCTCGTCGTACCCAACTGATCTTTTGCCACGCTTTTTGAGTAGATACTGCATCACTGTTTCATCAGAGTAATTCGATTGCACATAGATTGACACAGCAACAAGGCGAGATCTCTCCGTCGAATTCCATGAGCATTTTTGTCTTTTTGAAGCTCTGTAAAGCCTTTGTCGCATGTTGTTGATGATCTTCTCCAGATGTCGAATTTCCTACAGGGTAATAATACTATATATATATATTATGTAAGACGATATATAATCTCAATATTGTTTTTATACATATAAAAATGCATTAATTCATGAAGTCATTAACAGTAAAGTTGTTTTTTTTTAAATCGTATATCTCTTTAGAAAAAAAAGGACTTAACGACTTAACGAATTAACGATGTACGTGGAATTGTAAAAGAAACGGACGAAAAAAAGTTAGTTCGTATTTTTTCGAATAAGATACTTTATATTAACATTATATATCCTTGAATATATAGATAAATATTTATATATATATACATATGCGAGTTTACATTTGTTCTGCTGAACATGTGAGTAAACAAAAATGTCCAAGATGTTAAAAAAAACAAAAAAAAACATACTGATCACAAAAAAGAAGAATTCATGATAAAATGATAGCAAAAATGCTACTACTATTGGGTGACCAGAATAAATTACACGAATCAGAACCATTCTTGAAGCCAAAAACAGCTTCAAAACTCCTCCTTCTTGGAAGCTTGATCCTGAACGGACATGGCATAAATACTCTCAGAAGAATGAAACTCGAAAAGGCTGCAGTGAAAAAAACATATAAACATTTTAGACGAGACAAGTTCAGTATAATATCTATCTAGTTGCCATACATGATCAAAACAAGATCATGTAAACCAAGGACAACACTATTTCCAGATAATGCCGTATTTCATATACCACACAAATCGCAACAATCCAGGCGCATTTTTCTCGGAGAGATCACGATTGATTCGGTGAGACAATACGTCTTTGGGCTTTGTAGGCATTTTATGACCTCAACCGCGAGTATTCGAAGCTTTCTTTTGCTTCTTATTCTTATATTCCAGAGCGTCAGAGAGAGGAAGTGTCCACAGTACGATTTTGCAGGTTTTCATGAATCCTTTTCGATCCGGAAGTGGATTGAAACCTTTTTCTTCCTCCAATTCCGCGACGAAGTTCATCAGCTGTTGCATCCACAGTTTCAATTGTTCCTGACTGCTCAAAGATTGCTTTTCCTTGCACTTTGCAGCAACATTCTTTGATGCATCAGCAAGAAATGTCACTCGCAAAGGGAATTGCTCTGGCAAAAGATTTTCTCTCTTGATATACAGGATGTCAAATTGGCTCACTTTGACGATCCCTGTCATTGTGACATCAGCTACGACCGGTGAACCTTTCTTCGATTTTGTTACCTCCGCTTTGGGTTTTCGATTGTCCTGTAAAGTGTCGAAATTGAACACCAGCCATCCTTCTTCAATCATGTGATCCCAGAACAAAAAGCCGTCCACAGTCAAGCATTCGTTCAAGTCAAAGAAGGACATCACAACCCGATTCAGATGATCATTTGACTTGTTGAACTCGTGCTGCTGGTTCAGAGTAGTACAGCTCATGAAATTGCCCTGACCTTCGCTGTCCAACCACAAAAGCTCAATAAGCATCTGCAAGTTTTTCAATCTCCTCAGTTTCCGATCCACAGCCTTGAGTAACGGGTCTAAATCCTCTTTCACTCTCATATTGGCTGCCGAAATCTTGTTGTACAAATTGTAACCAAGATTGTACTGTTCCTGAAATGTGGAGAAACGATGTTTGCGAATTTGTTGGCTGCCACACAATGCCATGTCCATCATCTGATCGTCTGATAATATCTGCAGCTCCAGGGCATCAGAAATAATAGAAACGAAGTCAAATATCTCATTTAATTCCTTTTCGGAATCTTTCTCCGATTCTTTCTCCTCGGTTTCCCTCCCCGGATTCACATCCTGTGTTCCGCTTTTGCTTGGACGAGCTCTGTTTCCTCCGGGCGGGTTCCAAGCAAATGCCGGGCTAGCGGCCTTTGCCTTTGGCTCTGCAGTTTTTTTCTGCAATACCGGGTTCAACAGTTTCAGCTGCTTCTGCTGATTCCTCCGCTGATGATTTTCTTCATCCAGTCGACTGATACTTGTCAAGAGTCGGGGATTTAGAGGACAGAAAGGCTGTGAATGATTTCTCACCCATCGCATTGTGACGTTCCAACGTGCGTCTTGCTCGTTGACCAGATTCAAGGAGTCAATACGTTTAACTTCCTCTTGCATCAAGTGTTTCGAATTCGAAAACCACTCCAATTTTAGTTTCAGACCGTCCCAAGTAGTCAAGTCGTCTGCACAAGCAAGAAGCTCTTTGATCTCCTGAAAACTTGGTACACCATGTTTGTAAGCTCTCTGAAAGTTGCCGCCCATCACAAGAATTGTTCCCGGAGGCTGATACACAACAAACGCACGTTTGCCCTCGGTCTTCTCTTGTTTTTCTGGTGCTGTGCTGGAGATGATAACCAGCAAAGACCCGAGTCGGCAGGAGAAAGAAGTAATGGGATCTTTGTCCACATCATATCCTTCTTTAATGTCATTGTGAAAAGAGATTCCATGATTCTTGTTGTACGTGTAGCGGTTGATCAGCAAATGAAAACCTCAGCCGGACCAAAAGATTAAAGTATAATGATGCCTTTGTCTTAAAAAATAAGAATAATAAGAAACATTATACATACATAAGCAAATAGACCCAAATTACTGTCGAGAAACTTCCAGATCGGCTATACCAAGAAGACGCAGTGTCTTGAAGGAAATGTTTTTCAAAGAACTGCTGTATGGCCAATCCAGGCATCGAATGGTTTGCAGCATAGGTAATACGAACTCTTTCCTGCTTGTTCTCGCCTCCAAAGGAAAATATACATTGACACGATCCTCTGTTTATGGAGGCACTTTCATAATACACCACCCTGTTGTTGCTGATCTGCACAGTCTTCGCAGGATTCTGAGGGTTGACTTTTCTCTCTTCGTCCAGCTTCATGTCAAAAACTTGTTTGCCCAGCATCGGAATCTCGTTCAAGATGTCTGTCAGACTTGAGCTGCTGATCTGGAACAAACAAGAGTTTGTTGTAGACCCCCTTTCCAAACTCCGTGACAGATCATCAATCTGAGTGTAGTTACTTCCTCTGGCAATCATCTTGCAGAACTGCAGCACATCTTCTGCTGTATGAGCAATTTCAGGCCAAGCGAGAGGCATTGCCATTTCGAGAGAGGTTAGCAAACAAGCTAAAGCAAATGCTAATGAAATTGTTCAATAGATTTATGCACAACCCACTAAACTCAATTAATCATAGCAAAGTCAGTTTACTACCCGATCACGAACGATCCCGATCACGGATCAACTGACAGTGCAGGAATCACAGTAGATGTCTGCATTGTTGTTTCTCATCGTTTCCCTTCTCGATTTTGACAATGTGACTAGCACAGCTTGACATAAAATGTCAACGACAGGTGAATATGTAAATGGTGCTGTGACAACAAGTAAACATCATGACTGATAAAACAGCAGGGCTCTTTGTTTTGTCAGGCAGTCGTGTTCTAAAAACGCGAACAAAAGACAGCCACTATTTAGTAGTTGTCCAATGCCATACGGTTCTTGTGAGCCATTGAATTGTCATATGGAAATCCCCAAATTGCAATTTTTAATTCTTCTTCATCATGCACTGCAATCCTGCTCTGTCTCTCGTTCACGAAATCAATTAATTGGAGCAACCAAGAATATACACGCCTTTCTGGAGTGTGCGAACCGCGCTCTTTGGCTTGCTTCACAACTTCTTGTAATGCGTTGGGAATGAAATTGAAGCGTAGACACACATCGTGCCCTGCCTCTGCAGCTAATAGAGGAACATCTAGAAAATGTATTCTAAACATATCTTTGAGAGCAACATAAGTGGGCTCCCGTTGTTTATTTTCGATCATCTCTGCAAACACCTCATCCGGCATTGCATCGAAATTGAGAACGAGCCATCCACGCTGCACGATCTCACTCTCAAGGAGACAGCCGTTTTCCAATAAAGTCTGCAAGGTGTTTAAATTCATGCTGAAACGCTTCATATAATTGCGTATAGATGACCTCGGTATACTCGGAGAGCTAAAACATGACAGAAAAACTCCTTCGAATGTACTTTCCAAAAATAGAAGCGAGTCCAAGATCAGCAGATCTTCCAGAAGTTTGCGTTTTTTGAAGATTCTTTCAGTCAATGCCTCAGACTGTTTTTTTGAAAGTAATTTATCGTTGCACATGTCGACAATGTCGGAGCTCAAATCTTGCAGCTTCTGAACCACAGATGTCAATTCGATCTCACGAGATAAACGAGCTTGTCTGGGTCCTCCAAAGTAAGAAGGCAGAACTGCAAGAAAATCATCTGTCAGAAGCTCGACTGTCTTCGACATCATTCTGTACCATCTGGAAGCAAGTTCGTCTGTCATGTAGTGTTTGGCACTGATTTGCTGCAAATCTTCTTCGCGATTGTCTGATTTCCAATCTTCATCTGAACGATTGTCATCCGAATTGATATCATCCATGTGGTTAGACCAAGCATTGCAATCGCGTCTTTTCCTCGCCTTGTTCTCTGCAGTACTGAAGTCACGAAAAGGTCTCTTGTAACCACGAATGAGCATTTCAAAAGCTCAAACACAAATCGCAAACTCGAGCCGAGACAGCGAGTTCAAATGCGATTGCCGCTTGATGTTTCCATCATGACCAATGTCTCGTGCCTTATGATTCGACCTATCTAGGAAAACAAAAATCAAAACACTTGGAGATGTTCAAAACAAAATTGCCATAGAGAAAAAACTGAATGCAAATCACATTTAAGAGATGATAATCCTAAATTGACAACGACGATGTAAAGCAATGACGTGGCTAGCATCTGTTTTTTTGACAGCACAGACCAGTATCTGCAAATTGCTCTTATCTGCATATGAGCCTTGGTGAAAATCAACAGACGCACCAAGAATAGCATGCACAGTCCCAAGCACCACATTAAGTGGATTACTCTGTGAAAGAGTCAGGAAATTAAATTTGAGTGGCGCTCGTCAGCCTGATTGTTTGTTTGAAGCTTTCTAACTTTTCAGAGAGAGCAGACAGCTCTGACTGTAGCTCACTCAGAACACTCTCCAATTGTGCAATTCCAGTTTGCAAAGCATTCGAATCTGAAACATTTGCCACTGAAGGTGTTTCATCCAATCCCCAAGGATCTTGCCAAAACTCACGGAAATGTTTGTCCCAGGTGTCACCATTTTGGTCAGGCGGTGGTTTCATGTGGTTCCTGCGGTGCTCATGACATTCTTGATAACTGGTGTAACCCAAACTCCTTGGATTTTTCTCGTGCAAATCTGGGCATGACTGCGCGCACAGATAGCACAAGTACCTGTCTCGATTTTTGTGCCAAACGAAGAAATCTGTACCATCGTAGTCCCTTTTGGTATAAAGTGGTACTTCCCATGTCCAACGACAATTAGCGCATTGGCCTCTATTTGCCGTTGACAGATTCATGCTCCGATCACGAACACACCCGATCACGGACTGTGCCACGACATTGCCACAGAATGAGAAAAATACCTTGAATGAGATATATTGTCTAACATTGCGCATTGGTTCTAACCATAGCTGATAGAAAGGTTTCTACAACAGCTGACCTTGATACATGTTTGTCCATTTCTATTTGATAAAGCTCTGATCCCTTTGGGTTCATAATACACTGAAAAATATGAAATTGATCTGCCTATGCATTATGTCTATCTGTCTGATCCTTAGGCACAGCTTGTAGAGCTAACTTGACCCAAAACAAGCAAATTCCAATGAAACAACAACAAGCATTGTGAAACAGAAATTGTTAACTTATCATTCAGCAACGAAATGCGTCCATCGTCCTCAGAAAGAACTTCTATCGGACTTAGAAGAATTCCGACTATCTCATTACTTAGAGTTTTGTTTTTCCACTGAAGCTTGAGCAATTTTCTTCTGTACGGAATGATTTCATTCCTAATGATGTTGCCGCAAATGTCTCCGAGAAAGCATTCCTTGCATTTCTCTCAAAGCAGCACTGGCTGCAAGCTGCTCGGCTGATCGATTCTGAGCATCTCTCAATTCTATATCAGCAGAGTTCTGAAGCAACATTTCCACAGCAGTAGGATCGTTTCTTTTGACTGCAATATGCAAAACTGGCTTCAAATTGCGATTCGTGACATTCGGATTTGCCTGAGCTTGAAGCAGGTACCACATGATGTGATAACTCGACTGCTCGACTGCAGCAACCAAGGGTGGCATGCTATCACAGCTGTAGTTCACGTCTGCTCCCGCTTTAATGAGCATGAGAACGATAGTTGCATGTCTGTAATCGTAATCCACGTCGTGGCGAACAGCACAAATCAAAGGTGTCCAACATTTTTGAAATCCAGGTCGAACACAGTAGCAACGATTAGGATTTGCATTAGCATGCAACAAAAGGTTCACGAATTCGGTGTTGCCCATTCTGGTGGCTGTCAAAAGAGGAGTGCTTATGGCTGATTTCGTCTCTGCTTCAGCACCAGCCTCCAATAAAAGATTGCCTACGTCCAGATGATCTCCGCCAGCTGCCAATTCTAGTAGGGTTCTGCCATATGCGTCTGTAGTGTTTGGATCAAGATGCTCGTACAATAGCAGTTCCAGGATCTGCAGTTTATTAGCCGAAGAAGCTTCAACCATTTGACTTCGCTGGGACTCGTTGCACGAAACGTGCCCGGTTCCTTTGACCAGCAAATGCACATCATGCTCAATTTGGTTTAAGACTTCTCCATTTAGAATCTGTGTTCCATCCTTCAAATACAACACTTGTCTGAACCTATTGATTCCCAGCTGGTCAGAGAGTATTTTTTTGATGTCTGCTCCAGTAACACCAGGGCCAGCTTCCAAAGCAATTCTGCTCAATAATTCGCCAGAGAAAATGGACCAAACACGCACGTCCATCAAAAAGAATAAAGATCACCCTCGCGGATAACGTTTTCTGTGAAAAATCTGGAGCCATAATGTTAGCGACTAAAATGATCAGAGGAAGCTTATGCATCATATGGAAACGGCATCATCGTTTCAACTTAATTCATAAAAATCTATACAAAACATTTTGATAAAGCTTCAACTATTAAAAAGAAAATATACGTATCAACTCCAATGTTAAAAGCACATCAACATTCTGAACCTCCCCTCTTTTGACACAGATGCACAGAATTCACTTTTTCACATTCACTGAATTCTCCACCATTCACAGTACAGCTTTACTGAAACGTGATGATGATTTCAAGTCTGCATTCACTGGGAAAATCTGCCGATCACGAACTTACCCGATCACGGACATTCCATTCTGCTCGGACCGAACCTCTTGTGGTTAAAAAGAAAAAGACACAAATTGTGTCCATGCAAGCAATGAATCTTTTGAAGTTTTGCATTTGAACATGAACAGCCTTCTGCCATCAACGACCAGAATTGGCAGGAGGAGGATCCCAAACTACACGAGGAGGTCGTGCCTGTCTCGCATTGCTATTATTCGAGCTCTGCAAAGTTTGAACATAGTGTGGCCTTTCATAGGAACGGTTCCATGATCCCTCACCTTCAGTTTCATCCCAAGTATCCTGGTGAGAGTAAACTCCGTTTGAATTCCAGGATTGCCATCGGTTGTTTTGCCGCCATGACGATGAATCTCTCCAAGAACTGTCTTCGGTCCAGCTTCCAAATTCATGTGACATGTTCCGGTCATTCGATCTATTTTCAGATTCATGCACTGTTGGCAGCGGATGCAACGGGAAATTGCCGCTTCTTGATTGTCGATCTTGTTGCGTTGACCAACGATTCTGCCCTCGGTCGGAAGAAGATGCTGCATTACTTGCTTCTTCATTTGTGAAAACACATTCTTCATTCTTTCTTGACAAAATCTGTCGACCATACTCAAGGCAAATTTGATCGAGCCTGGTCCTCAGTGACATCATGTCACACCTCAACCTCTGAGCTTCTGCGATCATACCTGCAAAGATGTTAGAAGTCGATGTTGTTCTTTCATTTCTCGGCGAAAAGGGATCACGCCAAATCTCAGGAGACACAGAATCTCGATCCGCCTCTACGCTAAAGAGAGGGTCACATGGTGGCAGCATCTTTAGCCTTCGATATTGTCGGGCCGTTGCCCAGGAAGACTCAAACCGTTGGCACAATCCGTGCGGATCCTTTTGTCCATCTTGTAAAAAAGGGCAAACTTGGGCACAAAGCCAACACAAAGGTAGGTCATATTGTTTCACCCAGTTCATGAAAAGAACTTTCTTGAACTCCTCTCTTGTGGCAATACATTTGTTCCATCGCCAACCACAATTGGCACAAAGGCTATTCCCACCAACAGTGTTTCCATCCATTGCCAGGACAGGAGCTGAAAATGTATTTTGCTTGCTAATCGTAAAAACAAAGCAAGACAAAATTATTGGAGTGGAACAGCTGATAAAATGTTGGGAAACTCGCTCGACCTATAGATTTCGAAGATGAACACTCTCTCTTCTCTTGAGCACAAGCAAGCAAAATCATAAGAATTTCTTTCAACAGTGCATATTCCACCAACATCCGACCTCATGACAACAGAAAAGGAGTGCCAAGCAAGGTTGCACGGGAGAAAAGCAAACATTTTCTTCATAACACTGATAGGCATTGGAAGTACACGCATCACCATACTTAAACTCAGCTTCTCAGTCAGGTTGAATTCCATGGATCTGAAGAACACACGAGCGCCTTCAGATGCATGATGCTCAAACTGATCCAGAAGACGCGTTGATGCATGATGTTAAAACTGATGCTGAACATAGGATGTAAGGAATGGCTCTGCGCATGGCACACGTACCTCGGATCCACCCGTGAGACGCGGCCGAACCCATTCGGGCAGAGCCAGGGCTCGACCGGGCAGACCGTCGAGGCGACGCAGAATCAAGAACAATATGTCCTTGCAATGAAAACCCAACATGGGTCTCCCCAACCACCCAACCTCCTTGATGGAACCACCCAATTTGGTTCCACCAAGGCTCTACTGTTTGATCTGTCTATACTCTAGACAAATCAAACATTAGAGCCTGGATCAAGCAATAAAACTTCTGTTTCAATAACCCGATCACGGACAGACCGATCACGAACAAGAAAACGCATCAGACTCAACTTCCAGCAACCTCACCAAGTAAAAGAAACTTTTTGCGATGGGGGTCGGCCCCCCTCAGCGGGAGCGCTGCCCAAATTTCCGGCATGATTCTCTGAGGCTAAACCCTAAACTCTGGATAAAAAGAACTATGTTGTGCCAAAATCTGCATAAAAAAGAAGAAGATAACCAATCCTGTAGACAATTTGCACTTATCTGAGAATCTGACACTTCAGGAATGGTGTGAAGCAGAAGAATCAAACTCAAGGCCCTCGTTCACAAGGTTCCATGGAATGCGAGTGTATAAGCAATATACTCCAACTTCAATGTCCAGGATAGCGCAAAGACGACTTCAGCTGCTGAAGGGGATGAAAAAATAAATAAATCACTGCATACGAACGTCGGCTGACCTTTATCTGAGAATCTGACACTTCCGCAATTCCCACAAAACTGAAAGCCCAACTTAACAGGTCGCTAATAGAAGCTGGGGAGCCAGAATGAATAAGACGTAATCATGTCATGTGATGTGCATCACTTGAATACTAGCGAATGCTGTTCATCCGATTTGGACACTCTCAAATATAATTGGCATTATTTGGCCACCCGGAGGAAGATCCGTGAGTCGGACTGTGGTGCATTGACTTAGCAAATGCACTCACGCTGAAGCATGATTCGAAGCGTTGTTTCATTCCAGATCACGGAGTGTTCCCGATCACTGACCTGAGAAACGAAAAAAGAAACAAATCATTGCACCAGCAAAAAACTTTAGATCATATGCTTTCACAATCACGGAGGAAACATTTGCAACCAGAGACAACAAAAATAACACGTATCATTCACGTTCCCACTTGGAAAGACAACGCATTGTCGAAGTGCCCCAATCGGGGTCTGCTCCACTTCGAGCTCCGTTAACAAACCATCCTTGATAGGAGCCGTTATCCAGTGCTCCACGGTCCGGGCACTTAAAGCATGCTCTCAACCTTCGAATTCAAATTCTCAGGGTTCCACTTGCCTTCATAGGCGATCCATCCGTCGGAACCCTCATCCCTCTCAATGATCATTGCGTGTCCAGCTCGACCTCCATGAAGCAAAAACTAAATGAAAAATGTGTTCACAATCGAATGCATGAGTTCAGCTGAGCCTGAAACAGTGCACTGTGTGCAAATCAGGAATGGACACCACGAAGCGGGACGACGATATTCAAACATCTGCTGACCTCAAAAAAACAAAATAAAAAGACAAAACGATAAGCTCGGCCTTCAAAAACAAAACTTGGGGATCGGACTCTTCACCAATTTTTCGTTTCCAATGTAGAAGACTGAATCTCGAAGAATAGACTCCTGACAGATCTGGCGAAAATTCATCGCTGCTAAAATAAAATAAAGAAAACCAAGTGCCTCTGCAATAAAATCGCTGATCGCACCGTTCATTCTCACGACAACCTCAACAACTAAAAGAAACTTTTCGCGATGGGGGTCGGCCCCCCTCAGCGGGAGCGCTGCCCAAATTTTTGGCATGATTCTCTAAGGCTAAACCCTAAACTCTGGATAAAAAGAACAATGTTGTGCCAAAATCTGCAAAAAAAGGAGAAGATAACCAATCCTGTAGACAACTCACTTCTCTGAGAATCTGACACTTCAGCAATTGCGTCAAAGGAGAAGAATCAGACTCAAGGCCCTCGTTCAGAAAGGTTCCATGGAATGCGAGTGTATAAGCAATATACTCCAACTTCAATGTCCAGGATAGCGCAAAGACGACTTCAGCTGCTGAAGGGGATGAAAAAATAAATGCATCACTGCATACGAGAGTCGGCTGACCTTTATCTGAGAATCCGACACTTCCGCAATTCCGACAAAACTCAAAGCCCAACTTAACAGGTCGCTAATAGAAGCTGGGGAGCCAGAATGAATAACACGTAATCATGTCATGTGATGTGGTATCGTGACGTGCATCGCTTGAATACTAGCGAATGCTGTTCATCCCATCTGGAAACTCTGACATATAATTGGCATTATTTGGCCACCCGGAGGAAGATCCCTGAGTCGGACTGTGGTGCATTGACTTAGCAAATACACTCACGCTGAAGCATGATTCGAAGCGTTGTTTCATTCCAGATCACGGACTGTTCCCGATCACTGACCTGAGAAACGAAAAAAAACAAATCATTGCATCAGAAAAAAACTTTAGATCATATGCTTTCACAATCACGGAGGAAACATTTGCAACCAGGCCCAACAAAAATAACACGTATCATTCACATTCCCACTTGGAAAGGCAACGCATGGTCGAAGTCCCCCAGTCGGGGGCGGCTCCAGCCAGAGCTCCATTAACATACCATCCTTGATACGCGCCGTTGTCAAGTGCTCCACGTTCGGGGCACTTGAAACATGCCCTCAGCCTGTCGAATTCATAATTCTCAGGGTTCCATCTGCCTTCATAGGCGATCCATCCGTCGGAGCCCTCATCCCTCTCAATGATCATTGCGTGTCCAGCTCGACCTCCATGAAGCAAAATCTAAATCAATAATGTATTCACAATCGAATGCATGATTTCAGCTGAGCCTGAAACAGTGCACTGTGTGCAAATCAGGAATGGACACCACGAAGAGGGACGACGATATTCAAACATCTGCTGACCTCAAAAAAACAAAATAAACAAACGAAACGATGAGCTCGGCTTTCAAAAACAAAACTTGGGGATCCGACTCTTCACCAATTTTTCGTTTCCAATGTAGAAGACTGAATTGCGAAGGATAGACTCCTGACAGATCTGGCGAGAATTCATCGCTCATAAAATAAAATAAAGAAAACCA